GGACTTCTTCCAGTATTGAAGTGCTTATAGAAGAATAGTCTGTTTTGTTGCTTAGTAAGGTTAATACAGACCATATCCAGGTTATACTAGTGCTTTAGTTTCTGTGCTTCTGAGACTATGTATTGTAATCTAAACTTGTCAAACAGAGCTGTTGTCAGTTGATGACTGGAATTCAGAGGAATTTTCTTTCTATTACTTATCTGAAAAACATATTAAAAACAAGTAAGCATGGCTTTCAGGGTACGTTTTTCCTTTTAAGACAAAAGTGCAAAGACAAAACAATGTGGAGTAGTTCAAAATGCAGTGTAGTAGGTTGAAAATGTACACATAGCTTGTAGCTATTTTCATGTTCTTGTACTCCCTCTTGAGTAAAAAGAAAGCAATGGTTCTTTTTCAAACCGTGATGACCAAAATGGAAATTTTTTTGTTTTCATCCATCTTCTTTTAAAAGAACTTGTAACATGATGTTAGTTATATTGCTCTGCTACATCTCTATAATTAGTATAGCAGCTTACTCATGCTCATTTCACTTAGATAACCTTTCTGGGGAAAACAATTTAAGTGACTTAATTTTCAGTTGCATTTTCAGAATTCTTTGACAGCAGAATGGGTACTGTTACTGATGTGATCTGGAGAGTTTTTCATATACGTTGTGGTTTAACCTTGGTAGGCAGCTAAGCACAGCTGCTTGCTTACTTCCACTCTGCCGGGGGAGAGAATTGGAAGGGTAAAAATGAGAACTTGTGGGTTGAGATAATAACAATTTAATAAGTTTTTTTTAAAAAACAAAAAAACCCCAAGTAATGAGAATAAAGTAAAATAATTGCTTGCCACTAGCCCACCAATGCCAGCCAGTCCCCCGAGCAATGACAGGCCAGGCAAACCACCCTGCCAGCCTTTATTGCTAAGCTATAGGATGGGGTATCCCTTTGATGAGCTGTCCTAACTGTTTGCCCACCGCCAGCCCAGAAGACACTACATACCAAAAGGTAAATCTTTTCCCTTAATTGCTCTTGTATGTTGTGAACCCACTTGTGCCCTTTCCAAATGGTGAAGGCTTTCTTTGCTTGTGCTACAAAAAAGATGACCTAGGTATAATTTGTGGAATGGTTTCCAGTGAAAAAGCAGATAGCTTTCGCTGAAGATAGCAGAACTGAAATTAAGTCGTTAGATATGTAGGGATTTAAAACAAATCCACTTTAATCAGTGCATGTGAGAAGAGGAAAAGAAAACTAATGAAGCAATATTTTTCTTCTAGATTTTTTTTCATTTTATACCTGTGAATTTTCTGCAATCCAAAGATGGCAGCAAATAAGCCTAAAGGACAGAATTCATTGGCTTTACACAAAGTCATCATGGTGGGAAGTGGTGGTGTAGGAAAATCTGCTTTAACACTACAATTTATGTATGATGAGGTAAGAATCTGCACTAGAAATTATCTCAGGACATATCTGCTACATAGTCATATTTAAGCATTCATTAGTACAGTTATTTTCTGAAAGGGTTTATATGTATATGATGTGGTATGAAAGTCAGCAATTAAATTGAACAAAAATAATTTTTGAGATTAGTGATTTACCCTCTAGAGATTCCTGTGAAGGTACAATTTGGCATTTTTCAGACTTTTAAGCAATTAGATGCTCTGTCATATTATCCATGTATTTTGCCGTTGTTCACTAGATCTGTTAGAACCTAGATATTCTAGCTCAAAGCTCTTCCACTTGGGTGAGTTGCATGATGCCCAAAATGATGACCATTTTTTTCCCCATGTTTTTTTGCTGCTGTTGAAGAGGGGAAGAAAAAATTTGTTTCTTGTTCCCTTAATTTTTTTCAGGGAAAGTCATTCTTGATTAAAAGGCAGAAGTTACAGCTTCAGTGTCCTTTAAAAATTGATGCTACATATATTCAAGGTCAGCACTGCCTGATAGCATAATGGAACGCAGCCAGATGTGATTGACCAGAAGCAGAGGCTTGGGTAGTGCACAGACATTGATGTTTTGCAGTTACCTCTAAAATTTCCTTGTAGTGGCCGAAGAAAGCAAAAACCTATATAGTGTTTGGGCTGATGGAGAGCCTGCTTTAACTATGAATCATTTGAGTATTTCACATAGCCTAAATACATATGCTTATTTATTAGTTACTGTAACCATACAAGATATTTGTTATATCCTTATATGCAAATAGAAGCATTTGCCTTGTACAGGCATGATTTTGTCATGAAGAGTGTTGGGTTTTTTCCCTCTAGTTTGTCGAAGATTATGAGCCCACCAAAGCAGACAGCTACAGGAAAAAGGTGGTTCTGGATGGAGAAGAAGTCCAAATTGATATATTGGACACAGCAGGGCAGGAGGACTATGCTGCAATTAGAGATAACTACTTCCGAAGCGGAGAAGGCTTTCTTTGTGTCTTCTCTATTACAGAGCTGGAATCCTTTGCAGCAACTGCAGATTTCAGGTAAGTTACAAGGCAAGTTAATTATTCTAATTACAGTGAGATAATTGCAAGTGATTTATTGTTTGTTTTGTAATATCCTTATGATGGTCCAGATTAGATGATGGCTCTTAGTGTAGTCACATCATGTTTTCAACAGACACCCAACCGTGGTTTTGCTATCCGTACCACTTCAGGTAACTTCACTGCTGTGTTTCTGAATACCAAAAGGGCCATTGCCACAGACCAGATACATAGCAACGTTTGGAAGGCTGCTGTGCTGCCCTTTGTAAATCGGTGTTGCTTGGCACTTGTGCTAAGAAGCAGTTTTTCTGAGTAGGCATATCTACTATCCAAAGCAATGGATCTGAGAAAAATTGCTTATGGGCTGTATAGTTGGTATGTCCAATACTGCATACTCCCCAGAGTTGTCTATTTTAGTTCTTGCTTCATATAGAGGATTATGCTGTATTTCTGTTAACCTGTGAAACACCACCTGGAGTAAAAGGGCAGCTGTAGCTTGCCCAGCTGTAGTATGCTAGAATACTTCCTAGTTATAAACACGATGTGACTGGATTCCAGTTGAAAACTGCACAGAACCACCACACCTGGTGATGTCTGCAAAGTCTTAGGCTATGTGAAATATGTGCATTGTATTCTGGGAGACTGAAATGCATAGTATCAGCAAGACATCCTTCTACCTCTTAAAAATTATTTTACAGACAACAGAGATGAGATGTATCTTTGAATATTCTGTAGTAGCTATGCATTTTGTGTAAAGGCCTGCTGTAAATCTGTCTTTTCAGTTTTGCTTGGATGGAATTCTTCTCTGTAAAAGATACTGATATAAATTTTTCAATTTACAAGACAAAAGTTCTGCATAGAGTTCTGCATAGCATTCATCTGTCTCATCAAAGTCAGTATTTCACTTAATAAGGAGCAACATGTTAAAAACACATTTTGGGACTGGTGTAATAAAGATTTAACAGGATAATGTTTTTTAAGATGCTTTTCAGGCATGCAGCATATTAAAACCCTTATAATGGTAGGAGACTATTAAACAGGCAGGAGTGTACTAGAGGTTTTTAGTTTTGGTTGAGAGAAAGCCTATTTAAATCATTCATCTGTTTAAAAAAAAAGACAAAAGACATGAGTGGAAAAAAAATGTACCTGTTCAAGCTGTAGTGAAGTAGGAGAGGCGATAACCTTTGAGATAAAAGGAAACAAACGTAAAAAGAAATTATCTGCATCCCACTGAAATAAGAATTCTTAGAGATGCTGTCACTGTTTGACTTAATTAGCACCAAGTATCAAAATATGTTTAATATCTCTAAGGGAGGAGTAAGAGATATGGAGAGGGGAAAAAGTGAGTTTTTCTTCTGGTGGCTTTTTATTTGTGTGTGTGTGCTCATGTATGTTGAGAAGGAGGGGCAGGCCTTAAGTAGTTTGCAGGTTTATGCTAGGTACTGTCAATACTGGAGAACTATTTAGTATAGTTGAGCTCCTCTAGGGTGCAAAATGACCTATTCAAATCTGTTTAAAATCCTGTTAATGCTTCAAAGTATGTCATCTTCTATGGCTCTAGAAAAAGTCCTACTTTTCCAGCAAAGGTGAGTGTTGACAACATACTTGCTGAAACAGCAAAAATAGAAGAAAAAAAAATCCCTTCAATGAAGAGATTAACTCTCGCGAATTTCAATCTGAAAGTGCCTTTCAAGTTGCTCTTGAAACTGTAGAAGCCTAAATGCTAAAATGTATTTCAGAAAAATCACATTCTTTCTGCTCTGTGTAAAAGTAACCTGTTTCTCTTGGAGGTTCAGTTAAAGTACCTTTGGCATTGTTGAGCAGCCTGAGGGAATACTACTTCAGTGACAGATATGAGAGAAAGTGTCAAGAAGAATTTGGATATTTGATTGTTTTCATTAAATTTTGCTCTGCTGGAATGGCAGAACTCCAACAGGAGAGCTGTTTACTGCTATTCAATGTCCTCAGTGAGTTTCCTGGTGTGCTCTGAAATGCCATTGCTCCAAGTAAATTTTTTTTCAATAGAAAGCAGACCTGCAATGACTAAACTTTTAAATATTTGAAAGGCAGTTTGATAAAATGTGGTTTTGCTTTGAGTAAAATTAGTCTGGCTGTAATGATTTTTTTAAGTTCTAGATTTCAAGCTGGCATATCATTAATTAGATATTTCTTGTGTTAGGAGATAATCAGTCTTCAGAGAGGGCTCAAAGGACAATATTGTCATCTGGATTGCTGTTAGATTAACTCTTTACATGGTGAAGTTGTTTGGCATCACCTGAACAATTAATGTTGCAAGCTACTAGTTTTTAGCACAAGTCTTATTTGAACAGACACTGCAATGATGGACTGAGTTTTCTTCTGGCCACCCTTCCTAACCCACTGACTATTCAAACTACTTTTGGATAGCTGCAGATCCTGCTAAAACATTTGCTCTGATATTTGTGGGGGAGAGGAGGAATGTTCCTTTAATTACACGTTGGAGATGAATGTGGTGTTCCAAGCTGCCTCAAACACGTATTTATTGGTTTAAAAAAAAAATAAAAATTAAAGGCTAACAGCAGTTTCTAAGCCCTGTGAGTAGATTTCTTCAACAAGACTGCATGCTGTCCAGAGCTTTTTGTAACAGTAGGAGGATCCTGCCATACACCAAATGAGAGCCCTTTAGAATATCAATTAATTAATTCTCTTCAGCTTCTTTCCATTGAACTTTAAATCTGACAATAGGTTTCACCTCAGCCAGGAAAAGGAATTTGTTTCTCTGAGCTTTTTGTTGCTCTCTCTGAAATTGCTTTGTGACAAAGGGCTACATTTCACTCCTAACTTTGTACTCCTTTCTGATACAAAATAGAGAATATTCCTCTTGTGGGAAAACTGTTCTTCCTGGTACTTTTAATGCATTTCTAATTAGAAGAAAATTTTCTTTTTCTTTTCAGTGTCGAAGACTTATGTACCAAACCATTTGTAGTATTGAGTTTTATTTACAACTTTAAACCCTTCATCCTAGCAGTTCAAACAGTAGAAGGGCCTGTCTTTAAAAATCTGATACATGTACAACTTGTATCTGTACACTGGTTTATAACTGCATGGAGATCTCTGTAGAGACTGCATATAATTGATTTTAGAAGGTTTCCTGAAAGAGAGATTTTTCTGGTGGTATGCTCTAGACCATTTTATTAGCTTTAAAAATAGCACATATGTTTTATTAAGAAAAAAATGGAGTGTAAACCTGAAGTTTGGGTAGCTTAAAAATGGCAATCACAAATAGTAATGTAAAGACAATGGTAAAGTAACGCCTTTAGTAAAAGGAATGACTTTATTAATATAAATTCTCACCTAAACCAATCCTGTTCTAGTCTTTTAGCTTCTTACTGACTCACCTCCTTCCTTCCTGGAGGACTAGGTGTCTCTCTTTGTCTTTGTTCTGTATAATGTCATAATGAGGTTTCAGATTTTATTGTTACATAAGCCTCATAAAAAGGAATAAGTGGGTTTTCACTGTAACATGGAAGAGTATTTAGTCTGAGTTCTTTTTGCGTTCTAAGAATAGTACTCCATGCAAAGCTTAATTTTTGTCTCTTTTTTTTTTTTCTTTCTCTAGGGAGCAGATCTTAAGAGTAAAAGAAGATGAGAATGTTCCTTTTTTGCTAGTTGGTAACAAATCAGATTTGGAAGATAAAAGACAAGTTTCTGTAGAGGAAGCAAAAAACAGAGCTGATCAGTGGAATGTTAACTATGTGGAAACTTCTGCAAAAACACGAGCTAATGTTGACAAGGTAGTAACTGGCCTCTTTATACAAAGGATCTCTTCATGAGTTTTTACTTTATACCTCTTTTCTGTGGGTCATACTTTATATGTTCGTTATTTTAGCAATTATTTTTGTGAAATTTGAATCAAATACTTTTCTCCCTTAGCTTGCGAGGTGTGTGTGACTAGGCGACTTCACGTAGAACAATGAAAATGTTAGGCGTAACGAGTTTATCCCATCCTAACCTACAAGGAGTTGTTATACAAGACATTATACAAGACCTTATTTCATTGAAAATTTCTTGAGGCAGCTATTTTGGCCTAGACTACTTACTGTGTTTTCTATAACTAGAAGACAATCTGCTTCTGAACAGCAAGGAATGCTGTCTGATCCTCAGCCAGAATAAAACAGCTTACAAAAGTAGGTAAGGGAGGGATTTGGAACCCTCTCTACCCTCATCTAACCAGATGCCTGGTTGTATGCTGTTTCAATGAAGAATGGATGAACCTTTTTAAGCTTTGAACAGCCTAGAAGTGCCTCTTGAGTTTTCAGGGATAAAACCTGGTTCAGAAGGTCATGAGATAACAGAGAATCATTGTCTCCAAAAAGGTAAATTATTAATTAGTTGTAAGTAGTTCAGCTATAAAAGACAGGACTTCTTGGAATACAGAATTCAGAATAACTCTCAGCCTTGTAGGTTGCAAGAGTAACAGATGTGTGGCAAAAGAAATAAGTGGTTTAGTTCAATGTGCCAACATTTTCTTTCAGAGCTATTGATAGACTTGATCACAGATTGAAAAAAACTCTAATGTAAATCTTTATGTATGAGCTGTCAGTTGCAGCATGACAGCTGTAATGCGAGTTCTCTTTTGCAATAATTTGACTGTTGTGTCCTGTCAGTTGTCTTCCTGAAGAAATTTATTGTTCGGTTCTATAGTAAGAACTTCATGCTGTTCTGTAGTGAAAATTAAGTCAAATGCAGCAGAACTCAGTCTCATCGATACAGCTCTGATGATGTTGTCATAAAAAATAGTACATCTTTTAGTTTTGGTGCATGTTGCAGTTAACATCCATCTATTACAGTCATGTAGAAATCCCTAGCTTTTCAAAACCCACTGTCATCTAGCAGCTGGGGACAAAAATGTGTGTGTGTATATATTTTTTAATAGCTCTCTAATCAATAGCTTTTGCACGCACGTGGTAGGCTACTGCAGAGCTCTAAGTTTCTTCTTGGAGCTGGTGGCATTATGGATCCAGATTAGCATGTATCATATAGAATTAAGGTTTGACAGGCCATAAATGATGCTGCTTTGCCACTAGTAAATACCAGGTATTCTTACCTGGAGTATCTGAAGTTACAGGGTTTGTTATGCAAATTGTAGTTACTATTTGATAAGAAATTTGGCTTCTCTGAATTCCAGAATAGTGGGTTTGCTCAGTTGGGGAAAACACACTCGGCTTCCACTCACTCTGGTAAAGGTGAGCCACTAAGCATCTTCTCGGAAAGTTACGTACCACAGGCAGCTAAATGCTGTAGTACAGCGTCAGTGCTTAAGCAAGTTGACAGTTGTATCTTACTGTTACCACAGATTTAAGTATAAGCAAGTAATTTAGTGCATGTTTAGAAATCTAAAAGCAATCTTATTTCCTGATGGAAGTGTTTAGTTACATTGATTTTCTTTTGATCCTGTGTAATGAAAGTTGATACTTCTGCTGCAGTCAATAAGAGATTAGTGTCATTGCAAATAAAAAAAACCCCACTGAGCTCTGTAGAGGAGCTTTTCAGCCCCTGCACTGTGTTTCACAGAAATGGATCAAGTTCCCTGACACAGATCTAGAGAACATCTTCTGAGAGAGAAGAATCTTAGAATTGCTTAACTGATTTCTTACAATAAAATTATAAGGATGAAATGATTATTTATTGTAGCCTCCTGCACATCAGGTCAAGATCTGCTTTTCAAATGAATCACGTAGCTTTAAGCAGTCCAATCATAAAGCCTTAACTGACAGTAGGATCTCTCAGGTCATTGGTGTATCTCCAACTTAGTCATTTTTGTTTCATACTAAACCACTTGATGAAAATGAAGGTCAGTTATACTTTGAGATTGTAATATGGCAATTGAGATTACCTAATCTAAAAAATTGTTTATATAGTTGTATGATAACTTTGCTTTAAAGGAAGTGCTGATTTTTTTTTACCCTACACTTTGTATTTAGATTTGCATCATGGGACATAATGACCATGAAATGTTCAGTTTATGCTACTGCTCTATTAATGTTTTTAGAATTGGTTCTTGCACTTTTCCAGCCTTTACAGCTCATGGCTGAAAATACTGTAAATGTAAACTGATTTTCTTGATTCTCCTCAATAAGATGGGGATAATACATTTAAAAAATCTTGGCTGGTGATGAGACTCTTTCAATCCTTGCAGAAAATTGTCAGACAGGATTCATAAGCAAATATCAGACGACAGGGGAACATTATGGTACCATGGAAGAAGCTGGATTGCATCATATCAATTTGGTCTTCAAAACCTGTGAAAGATTTCACAGAATCACAGCATGGTAGGGGTTGGAAGGGACCTCTGGAGATCATCTAGTCCAACTCTGCCTGCTAAAGCAGGTTCACCTAGAGCAGGTTGTGCGGGATTGTGTCCAGGCAGGTTTTGAGTGTCTCCAGAGAAGGAGACTCCACAACCTCTCTGGGCAGCCTGTTCCAGTACTCTGTCACCCTCAGAGTAAAGAAGTTTTTCCTTATATTGAGATGGAACTTCCTGTGTTCCAGTTTGTGCCTGTTGCCCCTTGTCCTGTTGCTGGGCACCATAGAGAAGAGTCTGACCCATCCTCTTGACACCTGCCCTTTAGATATTTGTAAGTGTTGATGAGGTCCTCTCTCAATCTTCTCCAGATTAAACAGACCCAGCTCTCTCAGCCTTTCCTCATATGAGAGATGCTCCAGTCCCCTAATCATCTTTGTAATCCTTTGGACTCTCTCCAGTAGTTCCCTGTCTTTCTTGAACTGGGGAGCCCAGAACTGGACACAGTATTCCAGATGTGGCCTCACCAGGGCAGAGTAGAGGGGGAGGATAACCTCCCTTGACCTGCTGGCTCATGGAGAGCTTGTTGTCCACCAGGACTCCCAGATCCTTCTCCACAGTGCTGCTTCCCAGCAGGTCAACCCCTAACCTGTACTGGTGCTTGGGGTTATTCCTCCCTAGGTGCAGGACACTACACTTGCCCTTATTGAATTTCATTTGGTTCCTCTCTGCCCAGCTCTCTAGCCTGTCCAGGTCTCACTGAATGGCAGCGCAACCTTCCGGTGTGTCAGCCACTTTTCCCAGCTTCGTATCATCACCAAACTTGCTGAGGATACGCTCTGTCCCCTCATCCAGGTCACTGATGACCTGGATCGTTGGTGCAAGACCTAATCTTGGTCGTTGAGCAAGAGTAGGCCCAGTACTGACCCCTGGGGCACACCACTAGATACAGGTCTCCAAATAGACTCTGCACCACTTTTCACAACCCTCTGAGCACTGCCATTCAGCCAGTTGTCAATCCACCTCACTGTCCATTCATCCAACCCACACTTCCTAAGCTTGCTAACAAGGATGTTATGAGAGACAGTATCAAAAGCCTTGCTGAAGTCAAGGTAGACAACATCCACAGCTCTCCTCATCTACCCAGCCAGTCATGCCATCATAGAAGGCTATCAGATTGGTCAGGCATGATTTCACCCTGATAACCTTCTTTTCTTGCACATGCTTAAAGATGACCCCCAGAATGAGTTGTTCAGTCACCTTTCCAGGCATGGAGGTGAGGCTGACTGGGCTGCAGTTGCCTGGGTCCTCCTCCTTGCCCTTTTCGAAGACTGGAGTGACATTGGCTT